AAAAAACACCCGCTTCAATACCTTGATGTCGCATCCCTTGTTCTTAGGGCTGTGCGCTTACTCAATAAGTGTAGAAGTCAAATTAAACATGAGCATTTAATGAATGCACACTTGTGTAAATGTTTGAGATTTAGTGATAAATCTACGAAAGTTGATAAAATGTACCTCAGTGTTCGCAACTATGTAGCATTAAAATTTATTTTAATTACTGTCCTCAGTAATGAGGCGTGTAAAAAGCGTGACCTGGAAAGTAGGGAAATTTGACTAAACCACTTATTCACTCCGCATACAGAAATACTGAAGATTTCAGAATAAGTGTGTCAAATTTCTAGGAAATTAAGACAGGTCGAAAATAATCAATCTTTGCCAATGAAAGTGGAACTTTACATGTATAAATATGTATAACTATGTTATATGCAAATTCCCACTAAAACTTCATTGGCAACGTTGTATGTATTACGTTATACGAATATAACATATAACGATATAAGTCGTATAACATCATTACATGCAGTTTCTCACTATATGTTCGTTTGCAAAAAGTGACGATTTTCGACTCTTCGACACGTTCTAGAAATTTGTAATGTGTGTACTGAGGCATGCTCTATGCAAACTTTTCCTTTTGAAGCCAATACGAGAAACGAAAGAATTATTTATGGCTAATATTGTGAGGAACAAGATACTGCGTTGTTTTTACTTGAAGTGGCTTGTATTTCCTCAATGGTCCAAAAACACGATTATTAAGTTTGCGGAAACGTGTGAATGCAAGTAGAAAATTCGAATGAAATAATTACATGTGTCATTGCCAACAATATTATTTATTAAAAAGCAGCTTTCGATGGCTTAGCCATTATCATCAGTTTTCTGCTGTACAGCAGAAAACTGATGATGGCTAATCCATCGAAAGCTGACACAAATGTATTTCAAGTATTTCATTAGAAATGCCAATGATAACTCATCACAACACCTATAGAAAATTCGAAGAAATTCAAGATTAAAGGTCGATCTTTCTATTTGATGGAGAGTGAAGCACTGAAGGAAACGAGTAAGAGTAATAGTTTCAGACTTTGTAACAGGCACTCGAGGAAATAAGTCTTAGCGACGTGTGAAGAGATAAAATAGAGAATCATAATTATCAATACAAAATAATTGTTTTACTTACCGTAAACGATTTCCTGCATATATGAAGAGTCTTAAGTTTGTCGCTTCAGCCAATTCTTCAAGCGGTAAACTCTCGAAGTAGTTATAAGACAAATCTAAATAATAAAGTGACGGAGTGGAGACTAGAAGATCTCGAGGTAAAACAGACAACTGGTTGCCTTTGAGGATTATATGTGTAAGATCTCTGAATTCTCGAAACATTTGCGGGGACACGTGTGTTAAGGCGTTGTGCGAGAAATCCACCATTTTCAAACGCGTGAAAGGTGACAGAGCATCGGCGGGTAAAGCGGTCAAACCGTTGGCTGAGAAGTTGAGTGTGTGAAGTAGGGTGAGTGGTGCAAGAGCCTCAGACGGAAAAACCTTGAAGTCGTTCGCAGCTAGGTCCAAGAGCCTGAGATTCCCAAGGCCCGTAAAGGCGGAAGCGGAAAGGGTGGTGAGTTGGTTCCTTGAGAGACCGAGTTTGAGCAAGAGCGACAAAGAGTTGAAGAAACCGTCGGGCACGCTCTCCAGGTTAGTTTCATTCAAATACAGGCGCCTCAGCTGCACGAGGTTTGCGAACATGTCCGTGGGGAACGGGGCTACCTTGTTACGAGTCAGATCGAGGTACTGAAGTTTCCTCATATGACCGATCGTACTCGAAGGGAGCGATCGAATTTTGTTGTAGGAGAGATCGAGCCTTTCGAGGTTGATGCATTGACTCAAAGGACCATCGATGCTTTCAATGTCGTTAAAGGACACGTCCAGCTCTTTGAGACGACAGGGGTCGGGCAGAAATTGGAGGGAGGTAAACTCGTTTTGTGCGATGCGCAAGATCTCCAAACGGGACATGTTCTGCAGTTCGTTGCTCGTCAGGTAGATGCGGTTCCATGACAGGTCTAACCTCTCCACGTTTAATGGAATGTGTGTGGAATCGGGCATCGTCTGAATGCGGTTATGCGATGCGTCAACCAAGGAGGCGTGTCTGCAAGAAACAACACAAGATTTTATCAAAAAAAAATGCATTTTTCTTTTGGTTATATAAATATTAAATTAATGTGTCTATTTAAATTGTACAAATTCTTTCTCTTCATACAAAATTAAAGTCACCATAATTTTTTTTAAAAAAAAGGACCTATTATTTGAATTAATTAGAAGCACTCTGTCAATTTTGTTAGGATTATGTTGTGAAAGGATTGTGAAAATAGAAATTGACGATTATCTCTTTAGTTTTAAAATGAATGCAGGTTTTCGTACTCTACGAAAAATAAAATTATTGCTTCAAAGTATTGTTTTTTGTGGTAAACTTATTTTCCCCCATTCATATTACTCTCTTCAGTTTGACGAAGAGTAGCTTTGTACATAACGAGCTAGTTATATCAGAAGAACTCTAATTTATTTGAAATACTTTGTAGAAATCAGAAATGTTAAAGGGTTGCTTATGTAGACTAAATTATGCCAGCTCATTCTAAACATTCCAAGTGTAAATTATTGTCAGTAATAGATTCCATTTTCAATTTATTATATTGATTGTTTGTAATTTTATCGATTGCTTTATAAATAATAATCACTTATTTTTTCTTGACAACAAATACAATACTTTCATTTTCTAGAAAAACAATTGAAAATTAACTGCTACTACAATTTAAGAGTATCGCAAATGTTTTTACGTCTTTTGACATTAACGGAAAGAAGTGTTGTCGTTTAATCATATGAACAATATACTAATATATCATTGAAGCTTCCTTCCCTCTACAATGTAGTGATTATCATGGTCGCTATCTAGCAGTTCAAAAATAAACGTGACAAGTAAAAGAATGCCTGTCATCATTAACTCCAAAATAGTAAGAGTGATGTTAATAAATGCGATTGGTCGCGATGACAGCTTGTTTAGTTGTTATTTGTAGGAATGTGATACGTGGCTGAACACACGGCTCTGTTACGATCTCATCATTAAGATAAATAACTTTTTGTAAGTTCATTGATGTTACGAAACTAACATGTATGACATTAAATATCACATAAATTGAAGTTCTATTTAGTGTGAAGTAGTTAAAATTAATTCTTAAATCGTTTTACTGTAATGAATAAAATATTGAATGCCGTTCGAGAATAAAATAATTTTCATTCACATGTAAAAATCATCCTCAAAGGCGTCTATCGACTACTTGGGAATCAAAGTTACTCGTGAATAGAATCTTATTTTACTCTTCTGTAATATGGATTACAATAACAACTATACTGGTTAATTTGAATCAGTCCTATTATCTGAAGTTCTCTTCGTTGTAACTTACGGGAAGATATCTGGATAAGCGAGCAGCGCGTTGTAGCTGATGTTCACTTGCGTGATGTTTGCGTTCTCGCAGTCGGCCGTGTCCTCCGCCGCGACCGTCACCTTGCCCCGCTCCTGGCAGGCGAGCTGCGCGTACTGGCTGTCTAAGTCGCCGCCGCTCGTGCACTCGCATTTGTCTGCCAGTGGAGGTGGCTGCAACGGAAAGTCGCCGACATTACTTCTTCCTACCACTCAATTGGAACATTTGCCACCCGTCTGGCAATTCCTGGTTTTGCAGCATTCTCTTCGCGGAGGGAACCTGTGTTTTATTTAGTACAGTAAAGTGTCAAAAATCTAAACTAATTGGGATGATGGGTAATTTGGATTTTTATTATGTACAGGTTTTTGAACAAACATTTTTTAGACTATTTGAAGGGCATTTTAACCCTCTAAATAGAAAAAGATTAAAAAATGTCAGCTCCAATGAAATAAGAAATACCTGGATGTAATAAGAATATAAAATCGTACATTAAATATTCCTATACACAATTCCAACAGTAAAGTACAGCAAAGTTGGTCAAAGAATGTTGACATAAGGGTGCAACGGATAGCAATTGCAAAACCTGGTTTTTGCGAACTTGTTCTTCATCTTAAAGCGTTCGGATTATTGACGCTATCACTGTATTTACACATTACTTCAGGGTTGTTATTTGTGTTCAATTGAATTCAATTGAATCGATTGGTTAAATTGATTGAATCGATTGATTGATTTCATTTATTGAATCGATTGATTGATTTGATTGATATTGTGACGTACCTGGGAAGCGGTACTTTCATGACAAATAGATTATGCAAGGGACAGGTACATTATCGTGAATGGGTCTCCAGGAATTTGGCGCAGCACAGGAAGATAATCGTTATAAATTCTTTTGCTCATCTAAATATTTTAAAGATTAGAGAACACACTTTACAAATAGTATTTACAAATCGCAATGCGCAGGCCTTTGAAACAAGCGCACGGTCCACAGCGCATACTCTGCTCTTTGTCTGGTTAAAAACCAATTCTCGCTCTTGTCCTGCTTCGGAAGGATACCCGTGGGACACCGGGACGTGCAACGGCGGCGGTGTCTTCGTCTAGATACTCTCCGCTGATTCGCTCCTGAGTCAGCGCCGGAGAATTCTGCCCCCTGCACCACGCTCGCGCCACCACTATA